CCCAGGACCCTGGGATCATGACCTGAGCTGAAGGCAGACGCTTAACCGACTGAGCCACCCAGGTGCCCCAAGTTTTTTGTTTTCTTATTGTTGAGTTTTAAGAGTTTTTTTTTTTTTTAAGTATTTTGTATAACAGTTCCTTATAAGATGTGTCTTTTGCAGATTATCTTCTCCCAGTCTGTGTCTTGTCTTTTTGTTCTCTTGCTACTGTCTTTCACAGAGCAGAAGTTTTTAATTTTAATGAAGTCTAGCTTATCAATTATTTCTTTCATGGAATGTGTCTTTGGTGTTGTACCTAAAAAGGCCTCTCCTTACCCAAGGTCATCGGGGTTTTCTGCTATGTTATCTTCTAGGACTTTCATAGTTTTGTCTTTTACATTTAGGCCTATGATCCATTTTGAATTAATTTTTGTGAAGGGTATAAGTCTCCATCTAGATGCATTTTTTTTTTGCCTGTGAGTGTCCAGTTGTTTTAGCACTATTTGTTGAAGGGACTATCTTTGCTTCTTTTTTTTTCTTTTTTAAAGATTTTATTTATTTGACAGAGAGACACAGCAAGAGAGGGAACACAAGCAGGGGGAGTGGGAGAGGGAGAAGCAGGCTTCCCGCAGAGCAGGGAGCCTGATGCGGGGCTCGATCCCAGGATCCTGGGATCATGACCTGAGCCAAAGGCAGATGCTTAACGACTGAGCCACCCAGGCGCCCCTATCTTTGCTTCTTTGTCAAAGATTGGTTGACTACATTTATGGAGGTCTATTTCTGAGTCCTCTATTTTGTTCCATTGATATATTTGTTTATTCTTTTGCCAATACCCATTGTCTTGATTACTATAACTTTATACTAAGTTTTGAAGTGGAATAGTGTCTTGTTCTTTCTGATTGGGTAAAATAACTTTCCTATTTGAGCACATTAACAATAATTATTTAAAGCATTATTTTGCCTACATGGTCTCTGCTCCTCCAAGTTGTCTCCCTTTTGTTTTCATCTGACTTTTATGATACAAGGCTTTCTTTCAGATATCTGGTAATCCTTGACCATCTGCAAATATTTGAGAGCCCTGAACTGATTGGAATCTCTGGGCTTTTGACAATGGAATTCACTGAAGGGTGATTTGGCAGGGAAATTTTGTGGGTATCTTTAGATATATTGATTTGGATTACTCGTGTTCCCTAAAGAAGTATTTTCTAATTCCCTGCTTGAAAGATATAGCCCTGGTGCTGTTCATTCCAGAGCTCATCAAAAAAAGAGATTGGACAGGGGTGGTTGTTTTTTTTTTTTTTAACAATATTCAGTATATAAATATCCTGTTAATATTTCTGGTTTTGGTACAATACTTCTGTCCTTATCTGTGCCTAATGTCACCTCATTCAGAAACCCTGATTTCTATCTTCAGAGAGTAAACTTCCAGTATTTGGATGGGGTGGTGGAGAAACATTTGATCTGCTGCACAGAGGGGGAGAAAGTGATCTGAGGATCTAACTGCTTCTGAAACAGGCAATACTCAGTCCTTTGATAGCCTTATGTTTGCCCCCACTTTCAGAGGCAGCTGGTGCCACCAATTCTAGATCTTTCTGGGATTCTGTAGTAGAACTGGGATGTTGCTTTTCCTCTGCAGGCTTAGTAGTTAGGTCTAGATCAGCTCTCTGAATCAATTATCACTCATTCACTGTTCACCAGCTACTTATATCTTGCTGCGGTGTTTCCTCTCTTATTCTTTTTATCTGTGTGTCTTAAAACAACCTTTTTACTATCATTTTTATAGAAATTCCAAGAAGCAAAATTAGATATGTGTGTGATTAATCTTCTCTTTTCTTTTAGAATGCTAATGCATTTTCCACTTCTAATAGTTTGTCTAAGATGGATGATAAATTATAAAAAAAAATCTAATCTCAATGATCTAAGGCTGTGTTGTGCAAGATATATATTTTCCTGACCATTGAGGCTTTTTATATGAGCTGCTCATTTGCTTGGCTTGACTCACTACTGTCTTGGTAGGTGGGGACAGAAAATGTGGTGAAATTCCCAACAACTTGTTTTACAACTTTTCTTGTTTTTTCTGGTAAAAAGGATGCAGGAAGGAAAATGTTAAGAGTCATGGCTAAAAGTGGGGGTTTGTTGTTTTACATTATTTATGGTCTCTTAGCCCCCAACCGGTTTCACTATTTTAATGTTCTAAAATCACATTGTTTTCAATAAAAAAATAGGGAAAGGTGTTGTTTCAAAATGCTCAAAATACTTTCATGTCTATCCTATGATGATATTAATTATGCATGTTCAGGTAAAGAAACTGAGGAATGAAAGACCAAATAACCTCCATTAAGTATATATAGCTAATGAGGATTTTGGGGGGTGGTGGTCAGGAAAATCATAGTTTTCTTCTCCTCTCTCCACTTAGTGGTGATGAGAAGGTGTCCACTCTTTTGAAATGAGTTCAGTCTAGGATGGATACTTTAGGGCAGAACTGTTACCATTTATAACAACTATTATGAGTATCTACTAATTGCCTGGCTACATGCAAATGCTTCACATGCATTATTTCAGTAATCTTTATAGTGATTCTCCTTCTCTACAGATAGGAAACTGACACCCAAACAGGTTAAGAAACTTGCTGAAGTGCACACAACTTAGGAATGCAGGAACTGGGGTTGGAACCAGGTTCTTGAACTTGAAAGCTCAAGCTCTTTACAGGGGCAGCCTCCTTTTGGGCACAGGTTAGTAGTTAGTCTGGTGGTGAAATAGGGGGAAATGGGCAATACTGTGTTAGGTGTTGTGGTGGAGGTTATAAGAGCCTCTGGAGTGGAGACCGGTAAACTACCTGGAGAAAATCATCTAATCAGAGACCTGGTAGGAGCCAGCCAGGGAAAAAAAAGGGCCAGAGAGCATTTCAGGCTGAGCAATCACAGAAGCATTCCTATACCTAGAGGAAATCAGTATTTTAACAAGAGCTATTGGGAAGGAGGTGTGGCAGGAGATAGGCAGGGAGGGTAAAAAGAGGAGAGGCTAAAGAAGAAAGTGGAAGGAGTGAGGCCAACTAGAAAAAGCCTTTAAAATCTAATGAGAGAGTTAGGAGTTTATCCTAGGCCAATGAGGAACCATTCCTGACATAGGGCTCATAAAAACCTGTCCATTCCTAGGTGTTTAGAGCACTAGAAGCATCTTTTGTTTTTTTGAGGTGACTCTGAGTAGGCTTTTAGATGGCTCCTGGATGGGGGCTGGTGCCCAGAAAGACCAAGCCATAATTAGAAGCTTGGAATTTTCAGGCCTTACCCCCAGGTCTCCAGAGAGGGGAGAGGGGTAGAAATGGGAGTTGATAATCGATTGTGCCTACATGAGGAAGCTTCCATAAAAATGCCAATAGCATGGGGTTTGGACAGCTTCCAGAGAAGGTGATGCACCCCAACTCCAAGGGAACAGAATCTGCTGTGGTCAGCACCCTTCCAGACTTCCCTCCCACCCACCCCCGTACTTCTTCATCTGCCTGTTTATCTGTATCCTTTATCATATCCTTTAGTAAATGTAAAAGTAAATAAGTTTCCCCCTGAATTCTGTGAGCTGTTCTAGCAAATAATCAAATCCAAGGGGAAGAATATCATGGGAAACTCCAGTTTGCAGCCAGATTGGACAGATATTGTTGGTAACCTACTATTTGCAATTGGCATCTGAAGTAGGGTGGGAGCAGTCTTGTAGAACCAAGTCCTTCACCTGTGGGATCTGACACGTGTCCACGTAGATAGTGTTCAAATCCAGTTAAATTGTAGGTCTCTCAGCTGGCGTCACAGAGAATTGTTTGATGTGGAGAGAAACTTCCGTACATTTGGTGACCAGAAACGAAGTGTTTTGTGTGAGTCCCAAAGGAGAAGCACAGGCGGAAGACAGGAAGAGAACTGATAGGTTTTTCCAATTCACTGTGTTTCTCTCCTAGGGCCCTTCACATTTGGAGGGTCTTCCAAAGACAACTTAACTCTTCATGAAGCTTTAAACTTCCTACACTTTTCTGCCAAGAGAACATAAAAAGGCAACCTCCTTCTACATTTGTATTTCCTCCCAGTCACGCACATTGCCATCGCGATTCCCTACAGTTCTGGCAGGAGTCTATTTAGAGGCCTCTCTAATGGAACACCCTGTGAACACTGCGGAGGACCAGCTCATTATGCGACCCTTGCTAGATGGCATTGTAAGTACTTAAAAATAACTAAAGTGTATTTAGCTTCGTTTCCCATGAAATGGAAAGCAAATGGGTTTATTTTGTTGTGAAGTTGCCCCCATCAAAACCATAAGCAATAATTTATAAATCAGCCTAGGAGAAGAACTTCCAGGCCCCTTTGAGCCATCAGTACCATTCATCCTGGAGCCGAAGTAGAGACGCTGGCTTGCAGCGCCCATTTCCCTAAAGTTCTGCTTATGGCTTTTTATCCCCCAACCATTTCAGTGTTTTCCATAAGGGCCCAGATGCGAGATTCAGACTTCTCCAGTAAAGGAGGTTGACGTGCGGCGGGTCCGCGGTGCTCCCCGGACCTGCGCTTGTGGGGCGGGGGCGGGGCTCCACGAGGAGCGCAGGCCGGGGGCGTGTCCTAGAGCCGGACCCTGTGCGCAGCCCGCCAGGCGGGCGCTCGTGCTTAAGAGAAGCACCCGCATGCGCGACGGCGCTTCTTAAACTTGCACCTAAGGGCACCTCCCTGCTGGTCGCCACCCTGAGGATCTCCCTCACTCCCGCTAAATTTATTTTAGAGTCACATTATTTTAAGAACGAATGTAAATATTACATCTACCTCCACAGCTTATCCTTAGTAGTTTCCAAATAAAAATAAAGGTTCAGATACTCCCACCTCCATGCACGCTACGTTGCCACGCTAGCACTTTCCTCCCCATCCCCGGCTAACTGGTGGGCTTCCTAATCTGAGGAGCCCAAAGGGAGGAAACCCAAAGCGTGGCTCAGTCCGAGGGGCGGGGCCGGAGGCAGGTCCTCCCGGCCCCCGCCCCCTCCCCCCTCCCCACCCGCAGCCTCGATGGAGGTAGCGGAGCCCCCCGCGTCCCTGGGGAGGGCGAGCCCGGAGGCTCCCGGGTGGCAATGGCCGGGTCCCAAGCCTGCGGGGGCGAAGGGAAGGTTCCGGGGGGCGGGACCCTAGCACTCCTCTGCGGACTGACCCGGTACCCGGAAAGGTTACAGCCGCTCAAGCGCCCGCGCGCCCCGGCCAGGGCCGCCGCTCCGGTGGGGGCTCCCCTTGGTGTGCCGGTTCCGAAAGCCAGCGGGACCGCGGGGTTCCTTCGCCAGGACCGGGGGAGAAGCAGCCATCGCGAGAAAGCCCGCCCCCTCCTCGCATTTGCTGGCATTCCTAGACCGGAAAATCGCTGCCGTCTCTCTGCTGGGAACCGTGTCTACTCGCCACTGACCCCATCCCACCCTCTTTAGTCAGCTGTGACTAAGAGGTCAGTTTGGTTTCCAAAACTAGGAGATAGAAGAGGAGGAAGAGTCTAAATTTTCTATATTTGCCTCTGAGAATCAGGGATTTGGCCCCTGGGGCTGATTTTAAGTGTCCCTCCAAGCATGGGGTGTAGCTTTGTGGGAACTCTTGAGGAAGACTCTGGTCTTGTGATTGGGGTCACACAGCGTAGGTGAGAGAGGGGTTTTATTTTTGGTTTTGGTTTTTCTATCAGGAGCTAGGTGAAGAATCCATCTAGTGAGGGTCTGCCACAGAAGCAAATCTCAGCCAATGTGGAGATAACACCCACTCTTTTTTTATTCAGCTACCCTTTCCTTTAAAAAAAATGAAGTATAATTAACATACAGTGTTATATTACTTTCAGGTGCACAGTATACTAATTCAGCTATTCTGTACATTACTCAGTGCTCATCCAGGTAAGTGTACTCTTAACCCCATTTATCTATTTCAACCATACCCACTCCTGCCTCCCTTCTGGCAACCCAAGTTTTTCTCTGTATTTAAGAGCCTGTGTTTTTTTTTTTTTTGTCTTCTTTGTTTGTTTTATTTCTTAAATTCCACATGAGTGAAATCATGTGGTATTTGTCTTTCTCTGTCTCAGTTATTTCACTTAGCATTATACCCTCTAGGTCCATCCATGTTGTTGCAAAAGGCAAGATCTCATTTTTTGTGGCTATTATTCCATTGTATAGATATACCACATCTTTATCCATTCATCCATGAATGAACACTTGGGTTGCTTCCATATCTTAGCTATTGTAAATAATGCTGCAATAAACATAGAGGTGCATATAACTTTTGGAATTAGTGGTTTTTTCCTTTGGCTAAATACCCAGTAGTGGGGTTACTGGATCGTATGGTAATTCTATTTTTAAGTTTTTGTTTTTTGAGGAACTTCCACACTGTTTTCTACAATGGCTGCACCAACTTGCATTCCCACCAGTAGTGCACAAGGGTTGCTTTTCCTCCACATTCTTGCTGACACTTGTTTTTTCTTGTCTTTTTGATTCTAGCCGTTGTGACAGGTGTAAGGTGATAGCTCAGTGTGGTTTTATTTTCATTTCCCTGATGATGTTGACCATCTTTTCATGTGTCTGTTGGCCATCTGTATATCTTCTTTGGAAAAATATCTATTCAGCTCCTCTGCTCATTTTTAAAATCAGAATTTTTTTTTTTTTTGGTGTTGAGTTGTATAAGTTCTTTATGTATTTTTGATATTGACTGCTTATCAGGCATATCATTTGCAAATATCTTCTCCCATTCAGTAGATTGCCTTTTTGATGGTTGGTGGTTTACTTTTCTATGTGAAAGCTTTCTATTTTGATGTAACCCAATAGTTTATGTTTACTTTTGTTTCCCTTGCCTGAGACGATGTATCTAGAAAAATGTTTCTATAGCTGACATCAAAGAAATGACTGCCTATGCCTTTTTCTAGGAGTTTTATGGATTCAGGCCTCACATTTAGGTCTGTAATCCATTTTAAGTTCATTTTTGTGTATGGTATAAGAAAGTGGTCCAGTTTTATTCTTTTACATATAACCATCCAGTTATCCCAAAACCATTTGTTGAAAAGACTCTTTTTCCTATTGTATATCCTTGCCTCCTTTGTCATGGATTAGTAGGCCATATTAAATGTGGGTTTAATTCTGGGCTCTCTATTGTGTTCCATTGTTCTATGTGTATATTTTTGTGCCAGTACCATACTGTTTTGATTACTATAGCTTTTAGTATATTTTGAAATCTGGGATTGTGATACTTTCAGCTTTGCTCTTTCTCAGATTGCTTTGGCTATTCAGGGTCTTTTGTGGTTCCATACAAATTTTAGTATTATTTGCTCTGATTCTGTGAAAAATGCTGTTGGTATTTTGATAGGGGTTTCATTAAATCTCTAGATTGCTTTGAGTAGTATGGACAATATTTATTCTCTCAATCTATTTGTTTGTGTCATCTTCAATTTCTTTCATCAGTATCTTATAGTTTTTGGAGTATAAGTCTTTCACCTCATTTAATTAAGTTTTTTCCTAGATATTTTGTTCTTTTGGGGGAAATTGTAAATGGGATTGTTTTCTTAATTTCTTTTTCTGCTGCTATATTAGTGTATAGAAATGCAACAGATTTCTGTATATTAGTTTTGTGTCCTGTAACTTTACTGAATTTATCAGTTCTAATAGTTTTTTGGTGGAGTCTTCAGGGTTTTCTATATATAGCATCATGTCATCTGCAGATAGTGAATTTTACTTATTTTTTACCAACTTATTACCATTTATTTCTTTTTCTTGTCTGATTGCTACCACTAGACTTTCCAGTATGATGTTGAATAAAAGTGGTGAAAGTAGACATCCTTGTCTTTTTCCTGATCTTAGAGGAAAAGCTCTCTCTTTTTCACACCCATCCCTATTCTTTAATGACAAACACAGAAAAGGTTACCCTTACTTGATTTTGAACTTGGAGAAAGTGTCAGATAAAAATAATGTACACATTTATCTAGGCAGTCACCTAGATGTGGAATCTTTTGGTTGCCCTTAATTAATGTTTGAATAGAAATCTCACTCATGGACACCTGGATAGCACTTGGGCAATGAGACACCTGGTATGGGTACTTCTGAGGACACAATAACAGCAACAACGGTAACATAACATTTATTGAGCATTTGCAATGTGCCATGCATGATTATAAGTGAATTACATATACTTTGTAATATAAAGTGCTCTTCTGAATGCTTCCATCCATTATTACTTAGTTTTGACAAGCATATGAAAGAGCTGCTATCATTAGTCGCACTTTATGGAGGAAAACTGAAACAGTTTTTCAGGTAGGTAGGTGCCCCCCTTCTCCCAGTGCTGTGAATATAGGCTGCCAACAGCTCACAGCTATACCTTCTCTCGAGAATTGCCTGTTGATGGAAGCTGCCCTGCCAAGAACTGCCCAGGAGGTTATACCCCAAGACTCCCAGGTGTGGTCTATAGCTAAAGGATGACAGATATTGGGGTACCTCCTGCCTTAAAGAGGAACCCTTTTGCCATGTCATTTCTGCTCTGCAGCTCCCTGTGGGGTGGGACTGCTGCTGGACCCACATCTTTCCCTTGTTTCTTCCCTTTTTCTTGTTCTGCTTACCAACTTAACAGTTTTTACCTGAGAACCTCAAATCACTTGCTCTCAGGCTATTTCTGTGAAACCCAGCCTAACACAACTACTTTGCTACACTGGGTTGTGATTTCAGAGTTTTATTCTTTATTCACTAGACAAATGTTTTTCTCTGGAAAGATGGACAATCCACTGGTTTCAAACATGTATCAGATGACTTTCTCTTCTGATTAACATAATGAAATATATTATGGAAGCTTTGCTGCTAAAATAGTGCTTCATTTGTGTAAAGGAAATGATAGAATGATTTCCCTGAGATGCTGTTTGGCCAAGAATACTTTATTCCTATCAGGGATGCAGATAGCCAGAGTAGGTGATAGATAAGTGTTTGTTCATTGGTTTCTTGATTCAGGAAATGGATTATGAGAAAGAAACATGTTAATATTGTTTTTAACAGCTTTGTAGAAGTATAGTTGACAGGATGAAAGTGTACATTTGGTAAGTTGATCCATTATATACTCATAAACCATCATCACAGTCAAAATAATGAAAATATCCATTACTCCTCAAAGTTTCCTCAGCGCCTTTGTAATACCTCCTATCCTGCCCCTACGCAATCACTGATCTGCTCTTGTTAGAGTAATATAAGGTTGACAAAGACCTTAGAAGCCATGCATTTCAGTCACTGAGTTGTTGAGCTTGCCCAGGCGTGAGGCATATGAGGATTTCCATGGGATAAGACCACAGGGGAGGTTGAAATAACTGGGTCCAGGCTGCCATCTGCTCTTGGGAAAGGAAACAGATACAAAGTACAAAGCTGGACTCTGATGACAACTTTGGCATACTCCAAAGTGTGAGGTGAATGCAGATGAGGTTCAAGTAAACTTCGGGATTAGGGCAGTCTGGGGTTTTGTTTCAAGTTAAAGGAGGCCTTGGGAAAGTGATGTCATCCTTGTAATGCCCAACCAAAATAAAAACATACAAATAAAACTCGCCACCAAAGCCTGGAACTCCAGGGATGGCACTGGAAAAGGAATCTCCTGGTAGGTAGGGCAGCTGATTTTTGTCCTTAAGTTCATCATCCTCTTGGTTCTCTTCTTGGTCATTCCTGACTGTGGGAGATACACCTTCCCACTGTAACTCTTCAGCCTAAGTTTGCTACCTTGTGGTGTAGTTAGACGTGGTTAGAATATTCGGAGGCACAGCTGAAGGCTCTGGCAAAAGCAACCCAGAGAGAACACAATGAGAGCAATAGTTTTAGATGATCTGGCATTCAAAACATAGTTTTGTTATCTTTGCTTTATACTCCTGCTCAGCTTCTGCATTGTCTCCCATGCCTAGAAATCCCCTTCATCAATTCCTTGAAATCCAAGCCAGACCCAATTCACAGGTATCTTTCTCCTCTCACTTCTTTGCTACTTTCTGGAGGATTCTTAGGGTTCAACAATTGATGCTTAGCTTTATCTGGCCCCTGATCTCAATGGTCTAGACCCTTTCTGCCCAATAGAAATATAACACAAGCCGCAAATGGGAGCGACTTATATAATTTTAAATTTTCTAGTAGACACACTTAAAAAGGGGAGAAAAGAAATAGGCGAAATTATTTTTAATAATGTATTTTCAACCCTGTATCTCTAAAATGTGATCATTTCAACAGGTAATCTATATACCAATTATTGATGACATATTTTATTTTATTTTTTATTTTTATTATTTTTAAAAGATGTTATTTATTTGACAGAGAGATAGCGAGAGCAGGAACACAAGCAGGGGGAGTGGGAGAGGGAGAAGCAGGCTTCCCACTGAGCAGGGAGCCTGATGCGGGGCTCGATCCCAGAACCCTAGGATCATGACCTGAGCTGAAGGCAGACGCTTAACGACGGAGCTACCCAGGCGACCCTGATGATATATTTTACATTCTGTTTTATACTAAGTTTTTGAAATCCAGTGGATATTTTACACTTATAGCACACCTCAATTTGGACTAGCTCTATTTACATTTTGGACCATGCTAGTCTAGATATAGCATCATGGCCTGCATCCAAAATTAACTAAGTGTTCTGGGGAATAGAGGAGGAATATGAGTTTTATTTTGGACACACTGACTTGGGGATAAGCATTCCTGTGGACAGTGACAGTAGGCTTTTGGAAATGCAGTTCTAGAGCAGCAAGACAGAGCATTTTCCAACTCCCTTTGTCAGGGCAACATGTAACTGCCTTCACAGTAAGTTACCCATTTCAACTTATTTTTTTTATTATGTTATGTTAATCATCATACATTACATCATTAGTTTTTGATGTAGTGTTCCATGATTCATTGCGTATAACACC